TGACCCGCTTTACGGTAGACGATTAATTTAGAAAGTAAATCCAGAGGAGCTTTTACCACGCAGAAAATATCCTACCGGCTAATTAATAAGTTGTAATATTTTGGCAGTCGGGCACATGAATGAAGTTTGGCATAAAATGACACAGAAGAATTTACATTTATAGCTCCATATCTTTATTCAATTCAAAAGGCATATTATCATTCTTTACTAAATAAGATTAAATTCACTGCGTCGTAGTATTCTAACAAAGGGAGGCAGCAGCATAGATCCTAACAAGCAGTAGAGGCAGAAAGCGGTCTCCCACGCAAAATGGCGCGAGTTCTCTATTTATAGAAGCGGTTACGTAATAGGCTCGAATGTTCTCGAAAGTACTGGTCAAGGGAGAAGATCCTGAAATTGCGGAAAGTTAATTAGAGGTTGCTTGTTCGCATAGAGCAAAGCCGTCCTATTTTTTATATTTTACACACACACACACACATATATATACATACAAGGTAACCAAGAAAGTTCTTGCCGTTTTGGACAGTTAGAAAGAAAAAGTCATAAAACAAATAATAATCACCGCTAATCCTCAAAGTAATCACCATCGGCATCCAATGCCTTTTGCCAACGAGTGGTTAGCTGTGCGATTGTTGAAGGATTTCCCACGAAGATGGTTGTCCAGGAAATTGAAAATGTGGTAGTCTGTTGGTGCGAGGTCTGGGGAGTATGGTGGATGGGGTAGTGTCTCCCAGCCCAGCCACTGGATGGCGTCACTGGCCTCCCGAACCACATGCGGCCTCGTATTGTCATAGAGGAGGTGTACATCCTTACGATTGATCAATGCTGGCTCTCTCTATGTATCAGTGCCTTATGCACACGTTCCAAATGTTGTGAGTACAGGCCTGCCATGGTGGTTTGACCCACTGGCAGGAGCTCATAATGCACCACTTGGCGACTAGTCTACCAGACACAGAGCATGATCTTCGTGGGTGGAGAGGTCTCGTAGTGTGAAGCACAGGGTTCAGTGGTGACAACCAATGTTTGAAACGCCTGGGTGTGTCATACTGGACACACTTTTCATTCTTGGCGAGTACTCGATCAAATATGGATGCATTGCGGTGCCGAGTAAGCAATGACAAACCAACTGTATTTTTATTAAATTAATATTATGAGAAAATGTATGTTATGTAATAATTGTTAATAAATTTAAGTATGAAACACACCCACAAAAAATGTTTACATGTTTTTTTAATTTATTTTATTACAGTTTCCTTTTGTAAAGCACAAGTGTCCCATCACTTTTGTGAGACACTGTATGTAGTTTTGCAAGCCTATGTCTGGTTTAAATTTTCAAAACTACAGAACTCCAAGAAGAGACTATTCTATAAGAAAAAGAATTTTATTCTTTAATACCTAATTCCCTAGAATTGCTTGTAATATTTTAGAGTGATTAAAAATGGAGGAAATCAAATTTTGGTATTGTTCAATGACTTGCTAGAACACTTTGGATGATGAAGTTTTGAAAACTTGGTATTTTGTTGCAAAAGAAAGAAATAATACAACAAAAATATAAATTTAAAATGGTATAGTAAACAGACTATTTCCTTTTGAATTGTAATGGGAAAAAGAGAGCAGGTCATATGAGTACTTTGGGAAAGTGTGACATGATAAGCAGACTGATGTATTTATTCAGGTAAGAGCTTTAAGAGGTTTGGCTGCACATTAATTCACATCTGCATAGCATGCCAGAAAAATCTACCATTTCATACTAGATTTGTCAGAAGTCCCTCTGCCCCAAGAAGATGCTAAAAACGTTCATATTACATGAAGGAAATTGCAAACTTCATACAATTAAATTTATTCTTTCTTGATGTATGTGGGAAGAGAACTGTAAACTTAGCTATGAGGGAAGAAAATATTTAATTTATTCAGTGAAAGTGATATTCTTAATATCTTTTTACTGACAGGTGTCTTTATGCTGAATAAACAAAGTAATAATAATGTAATAAATATATTTTTCAATGATGATTCCATCAATGATATCTTTCATTGATGGAAGATTCTAATTTTCATTCACATAATCACGACCTTTAATATTATGTCTCTGATGTATTTAAACAAATGTAGAACTCATTTTCCACAATACTTTTATATGCTCTTTCTCACTATAGCAGAATGCCATTTCTAAAACACGTTTTTTGTTTTTCAATATAAAAGCTATTTTTTTAAGGAAGCATCTTAAAATATTTTAATGCTTTTCGATGAGAAATAATCATTCAAATGAATAAAAATTTTACACCTGTGAAGTTATTGATAAACAGTGCATCTTTCAGATATACATACACTGTTTAGGCTAGTATTTCTTTCTTTGAGATATATACCACGCACTAAAATTTGCATCATTCTCATATCTTTAAAAAGTAAACAGTTTATACTTTCTTTATTCAAGAACTTACGTGCCCTCTTCTTTAGCAGTTTGACATAGATTAAAATCTCCCATAACGATAATATGTATCAAAATAATTAAACTTATTAAAGTCTAAATTTAAATCTGAAATTTAGGTCTATGAGCAAAGCTAGCACTTAAAAGATTTTGGTACCCTCACATATATTTATTCCTCTTTTCCTCCTATTTCTTTCTCAGTCTTGGTTTAGCTGCACCATTCTGTGGTAAAACTGCCAATGGAATATTTTGTGGTGACCCTTTTCCTTAATGCTCTATGCACATGCTTATTTTGATTAACAATCAATCCATCTCTGCCTATAAGATTAAAAAAAAAAAAAAAAAAAAAAAAAAAAAAAAAAAAACATATAATAGGCCAATAATATGAAGATTTCAATGAGTAAAACATTTGTGTTATGTTTTTGCTGCTCAACATAACAAGACTAAAGAAATATCGAGAACATACAGATGAACTGAGAATTCCTTTTTACGTGTTCATGGGCAAACTTTGAAGATAGTGTCTATGATTTTGAGAAAGAATTCACATTGTAAAACGCCATATTTAATTTGTCGCTTGTTTGAAAATTCAGGAGACAAAGGTTATCTTTATGTTATGAAAACACATCTGGCAGGCTTTGGCAGATGTAGACAACTTTGTTCCCATCAAGATGATGAGAAAATAATCAGACATGTACTGGGAAGGGAGAAAAACGAAAGGAAGGATGAATAGGCAGACAACACACAGAGAAAGAAAGTTACAAGGAATAAAGCTGAAGAAGAATTGCAGGTTTTCTTGCCAAAAAAAAAAGTCACATCTCCATGACTACATGATGATATAAAGTTTCATTGTATATGCTGTAAATTTTTAAAACTACAGCGACAATTTTGTAAACAAGCAAAATCTAAAAAATTTGTAAATTTTATGTGATAATATATGTGGTCATCATAAAATGCTGCTGAATTTTGCTTTTCTAAGATATAAAATTATGGGAATGCATTTTAATTTTACATAATCTGTATGATTTTTTATATTATTTATTTAAATGTGGCTGATAAATAAAACACATGACCAACATACTTTGCATGCTACAGTTTCTACAGATGGCATCACAAAATACAAAAGTTCAGTTTTAGAAATGTGTATTAATTTTTTTGGAAAAATCTCTTTTCAGAACTGGCAGGATTCCTTTGCTACGAATTAAGAGAGCTTCTACTATACTAATAATTAAATTAGCAGTATATTTTCAGAGAATATTTTGCTACTCAGGAGCACAGATTTCAGGAAGAATCTCCACATTTCCAGATTTTTACAATACATATTCTTGACATATAGTATATGGATGAGTAATATCTTGATAGATTATATTTGGATATTAAAGATCAAGGGACAGCACAATCAGTTTGAGAGTAGCACTATTAGTACTAAAGATGGTGGATTGCAAGTGGTGTACTTCTTTTATAACGTATTATTCCTCAACCCAATATTCCTGTTGTATAATGTGATGTTTAATAACACAACTTGGATTATTCCTTTTCTTGCATTTCTCCTAACATATTTCTATTATGCTTTGTTGTCAGATATGAAATGCAGTTGACTGTTAAAAGGTGCATATATGCCAATGATAAAGTCGTGTTATATGGCTGATTAGATGTTTTTTCCAATGGCAGAGTTTAATAGTTTTTGGAGCAGCACGAGTAGCATACTCTCATTTTTTTGGAAAAATTAATTCCGAGTCTACCAGAACTTGGTCTATCATTTCTCAGTTATCTATTATTAGTTATCTGTGGTTTCTTAGGTATTATTTCTTAGTTACCTGTTAACAATCTTGAATGCTCTCAAATGTTGCTGCAATTTCAGGATTAGATTTTCCGTCATACCAGTTTCTTTTTATTTGTGAAAATTAATAACATATCACGTTTAACACATATTCTTGAATAACTGTTTCTCATTTGTGTCAGGTATCAAAAAAAGCTTTCATGAAAAATTATATTTTCTTTTAAAAAATAGTGAGAGAATGCTTTTGAAAATTCCACAATTTATACATCTGTACGAACAATTGTCTCCACCCATGCACAATTTGAAAGAAAATGATCTATTTTTTATTTAAAATGCATGGGAATACAAATTTTTTTATGGATTGTGCGTATAAGCTTTTCTCTATATAAGAATGATGTGTTTATTTTTAAAAAGAGAAAAATGCATCCTTCTGATCTCTTAAAAATTAATGCATGGGAATACAAATTTTTTTATGGATTGTGCGTATAAGCTTTTCTCTATATAAGAATGATGTGTTTATTTTTAAAAAGAGAAAAATGCATCCTTCTGATCTCTTAAAAATTACAATTTCTTATGAATTTATAATATTTGCATTTTTTTATGATCAAGATATAATTTTTGTTAATAACAAAAATCTAGTTTACTATTCTAAAAAAAGCAGTTCAAATTTTTATGTTCATAATGAATACTGCGCAACATGAATTACCTGAATTCTTAAAGAATTATTTTACTAATTGGAGATTTATTTAATGAAACATTTAATATCATAAAAATACTACAATCATACTTATCAAAAGGAGACATTTATATATCACAGAACATGACTTTTAGTGGAATGCATAAAATAAATTCCATATTGAAAATAATTCAAGTTAAAAATTTTGAAATATCAAATCTTACAGAAAAATCACTGGTTTTTATTTACATCACATAACATTTTCTAAAAGGTTTTCTAAGAGAAAACAGAAAATTCTGATAATGAGCACTTTATATTAAGAAAAGGAATTTTAATTGCTCATAAAAATAAAGGATTTACAATTTAATTGAACAGAAATATTACATGTAACTACTTTAGCATGGATATAAATTTTAAAATGTGTCTTTTAAAAATGGAAAATGACAACTTTCATTTATATACAACTCATTCTAGTTATTTAAACAACTCAGATGAATGAAATTCATTTCATAATTTTACATCACTTTAAAAACTTTAAAAAGTCTAATAAAGAGGCAAATGCAACTGACTTCATAAAGTATCAAGATAATTTTTTTTTAGATTAGTCAGTCTTACCATACACAAGGCCATAAAACTCAGAATTTGGGTTTGAAAGCAAAGCAGATGGTTTATCAATTTCTGAAATACTCCCATCTTTCATAACAAGCACTCTATCACAATCCATGACAGTTTCAATGCGATGAGCTATAATAAGTATAGTTGAATGCCGAAATGCCATTCTCACTGTATGGCGAATTAAGCTGTCAGTTTGATAGTCTATACAAGCTGTAGCTTCATCCATACACAAGATCTATCTCAAAGGAAAAATATCATTTAAGATAATGGAAAAATATTTGCTTAAAACATGTACATCATCAAAGATTATACTGCGAGCATTTTTATTCAATGAGTCAATCAAGCAGTGACAGTGCTTCTCAAATAACAGTTTTATATTGATAAATTAATCATAATAATTACTAATTATTGTCATACTGCAGTAATGGTAAGAAGGAAAATTAATATTAATGAAAATATCATATACAGTGCTTTTAATCCTAATTTATTCCTTAAAAGTATGTGTGGGTGCACATATGTTACTGTAAAAGCCCGAAATAACAGAATGTCAGAATTCTCTGATAAATGTCAATACTTACCAAATACATGGGTAAAAGACAGAATATCTGGTTATATGCTTCTACATTTGGACCATCGCCGTTATATATCGACAACTAGAGATAACCACTGGTGGAGGTCGAAACATCGAGCCAAGTGAAAAGTAACAAAAATAAAAATCCTTTGTTCTGCTGCAAAAGGTCATGTGCCGAGAAGACACAGCCAGAGAGAAGCAACAACAAACCTTTTGTTTTGCCTGGACTAAGGTATTGTGTATCTATTTTTTAAACTCTCAAACATTCTGCTGTTTATTAATCTCATGCAAAATTTCCTGATGCAGGCAATGTTTGCTTAATTTTTTTTAAAATCTAATACCCTAATTTCTATTGAATGGCTACTGTGATAAATCATGTTTTTTTGGGGGGGAGGGTAAAGTTATGTTCATTAACTGCAAGTAAATGAAAATAAGGTTTTTCTTATTTTCTCAAGAAAAGTACTCTAAAATAATTTCTGAAGTAACTTCTGTTAAAACTAAGTGCAGTACACCTTTGGCTAACAGATAATTAAAAAGGTTTTGACAATTTAAAAATTAACAGTGAAGAGAAGTTAGTTGTGCCATCCAGAAGAAATTAGTATACAGTATTATATTACTAATCATGAATTGTTCAGTATACTATATGAAACACATTTGAATAGGCTATGAAGGAAAAATACATATGCTTAAATAATTGCAAGTTAAAAAAACATTACATATGAAGTTGTAATGTCATATTCAAATTTATGTAAACAATGTCAAGTTAAATACAGAGCATGTAAGAAAGCTATTGTTGTAAAACCAATGGATAATTAAAAGTTAAACTCAAGATGTCAAGTCAATCTGATAGACTTGTAGTTACACAAGAAGGTGAATATAAGTTGAAAACAATTAAAAAAAGTTTATCTAAATACAATTTTTAAAAGCTAAGACAGCTGAAGAAGTAGCATAATCACCTTTCTCAAATATTTCTAACATTTGGTGCTCCAGCTATATATATTGCATTCAGATAATAGTACGTAATTCAGCAGTTAGTCCTATCTGAACTATGCGCTATGTGGCTAGATGTTAAGACAATTCATGGACAGCTTCGTCAAACACAAAGCTCAGATGAAAGGGCCAATCAGGATATACAAGCTATGTTAATTGCATTGATGAATGATAGCAATACAAATAAAAGATTACATGGTTTGCACTTTTTTTAATTTGCCAAAAATGCAATTTATCAGGAAGGAATACACCAAAGTCCTTGTGAAGAGCCTTGTTTGGCTTTAAAACAAAAAAGGCACATAGCATCGCCATCTTTACCTGGTGAGCAAATTGCAGATATTGAAACTGAAGAATAGCTTGAAGAAATTGTTTATACTCTTGAAGAAAATTTTAGCAGAGACCATACTGAAAATTATATTCCAAAGGAAAATATTGAACAAAAGCTGCAACCTACCATGTCTTCATATCAAGCCCTAACTGAACAACACAAGTTTATTTCTAAAAAAAAGTGTGGCTGCAAAAGAGAAACTTGTATTGTAAGCTAAGAAAGTGTTACGAATTTCAAAAAGAAAATTTCCTCTTTCTCAAATTTATGATACTGCAAGTATACAAGTTCCTAATTTCACCCATGGCCGTACAGATGCCTAAAGTGTGTTAGTAGTTGTTGCTGGAATTGAAGACTGTAGTTTTTATAAATTAGCAAACAAAGTCGTACTTCAAACAGCTGCAGCTTTAAACCCATGATCAGCTCACAATCAGTAAAAAAAACGTTATTTCCCATAGATAAGAGTTCTTATGAAATATCACTGAAGAAAGCAGCTACAACTAATTCGAGGGCACTGCTATATATGCTGCAATTGCAAAAAGAAGTGACTAAATGCAGTTGTAAAAGCAATGGACTCTCAGTGAATCAAGGGACTCAAAGTTTCATAACAGTTCAATTGCAATTAATAAGGCTGTATAACATATAATTTATGTACAGAATAAAATCTGAGATGTGGGGTCATCAGGACATTCACAGTTCCAGATTTGGGGTTTTTCTAAATATCAGATCATTTTAAATCTGGTAAGATGATATGTAGAAATTATAGAATTAAAAATATGAAATAGTATTTTATGAAATAATGAAGTATACCTTAAGGAAATCAAAACTTATTAATAAAAAATACTTAGTATTAATTTGTTTGCTTTAGTGAACCTCTCAATGTAAGTTGCTTAACCTTCCAGCATGTGCGCATGCGCAAAATTTATGACAAATTCTGGTTTTAATGTACATTTTTTGTATATCAAGCTGAGACATCTGAAGGTCATTTATATTTCTCCTTTCTATCCTTTACCACATCATGGAATGTGCCAACAGGAAGTTATTTGACTTTTCTTTATTCTGGGGGGCTTTTGTGCTATGTGGCAGCTTTTTCGTAAAAGTTACGACACGCACGTGGTCGTGGGTGAAAATTCGAACATATTTTTTTCTCAAATATTTTGTAATTTTGTGTTAATAATTGCCGTGTATTATTTTAATTTTCATACATTTGACTTTGTAGTTTTTATATCGGTTTTCATGGCAAAAAAATATGTGCAACCAGCTGATTTTGCTCGCATTCTTCAAGAATTATCTGATGAGGAAAAGGAAGACAAGGAAACCTTTGGATGGGAGAACAATAGTGATTTCCATTCCTTATTTTCTTTTATTTCTATTTTTTAGAAATAAATAAAAACATTAAAGTTAGTTTAAAGTGCATTTTTGTAATCAGTAAGAAGTAAATTTCCTTGCAGAAGTAAGTAATGCTAAACTTACTTTTTTTCCTACCAAGGTGAGTGTTTTCCTTTTTTATTTGTCTTTTATTTGTCCTTTTTTATTTGCCTTTGATGAATATTAAAATTAGCTTCGATTTTAAAATATAATTATTAAATAATAAATTTAAATTTTTCTATAATGAAATACATTATTGCATTTCCATCTCATTAACATAAGAATTTAAAAATAATTTACTTATATTTGAATGTGATATCATTTGTATTTTTCAATAAAAAGGTTTATATTTTACTTTATAACAAATTTGTTATCAATATTCACTCATTTCTGTTGTTTTTCGTGCCCAAAATGGTAAAATAACGAATGTTGTAAAAAATATGATGCATGCGTGCTCATGTAAAATTGCCAAGCGCACGTGCTGGAAGGTTAACTTGCTTCCCCCCTTTTTTGTGCTAATATTTTCTCTTTAATTCTATAGACAGATACAATTTCTTGTTCAATTACAAAATTCCAATGTTCAAGTCCTGTAATTGCCCTATTGAGAATTCTTACTAAATTGTCAGTCGAAATTTTTTGTTCCTAACAACGTCTCTATCACTTTCTTCACTTTTCATGGGTATATTTTCTGGATTTAGAACCATACTATAGATTTTGCTATCTATTAGTTGATTTATGACTGGGGCATTATCACTGCAATGAAAAACTTCTGTAACATCATCTTTATTTATACCACTTCCCCACATTTTTCACAAATTAAATTAACTGCAAAAACCTGCTTACCCAGGACCAGTGTTACAGTGGCGTAGCGAGAGGGGGGCAAGGGGGTGCATGATGCCCCGGGCGCCGCTCGTACAGGGGCGCCAAATGGTCTCCAAACAAGATTTTCCGGAAAATTTCAGTTTTTATTTTGATCGATTCCTGGAAAATATATTTAAAATTAATAACTATTGTAATATAATTAATTATTTATTTTCTTGATTTGTGTAATAAAATGCTTGCAGTACATCAACCAAAACGTTCTTTCTGACCACTTTATTTCTCCAAAGTAGAGATATATATTTAAACGAAATGCACGTATATCTCTCGCGCTTTTTATTTTAAAACGATAACACGACCTTGTCCCGAATTTCTCAAATATATCCAGTTTCCAAATTCCGATTCCATAATCTGGAAATGACATTTTTTGAGATTCGTAACGCTTCCGCTACAATGGATTGCGTTTGACTCTCCTGTAAACGTCTGATGGCCTTCCTGGCTACTGATTCAACTAAGTCATCTTGCTGAGATGTCGTATATTCACTGCTACGAAGCATTCAACGCATGTGAATTGTTTTTAATCTTCTATTACAAAAGGAATACTGCAGGTCGTTCCTTACTCCTTATCTAAAACGCATAGTTTTCGACGTCACAGACTAAATTTGCATATTCCCAACTTTGTAAACGTTATAATTTTCCTTTATAATCTCTTCTCTATTTTCTTTTGTTCAAAAATGTTATCGATTATATGGTTATTTCATACCGAACCCACAATACACCCTAATTGTTTTGAGCAGTGAATGTGACTGCATGACGTTACTCCGTAGTAGAAAAGAAACAGAACCTAAAACTCCACTGCAGATCTATAGGGAATATGTTTTTCCAAACCTAAGAGTCGCACTTTAAATACTACTTACTATGAACGTTCGTTCAGCAAATTAAAATAAATTTTCACATATTTACAATCAACGGTGGGACAAGATCCCCTAAGTCATCTAGCATTTTTAAGTGTGGAAAGAGAAAAATTTGAAAGGATCTACTTTGATGAAGTAAATGATAAATTTGCTTCTAAATTTTCAAGGTAAGAAAAATGTATACATAATAATTAATTTTATTCATGTATTATATTATTATTAATAAATATAAGAGCCCGACCAAGTCG